GTTTCAAGTAATTCTGATCATAAATATTTTTTGGATTGTATTATAACGTGTTTTCCTGTGGGAATGAGATAATCTCCCGTGGTAAAAAGTAGCCTATGTCAATCTCTAGCCCTCCAACTATCACCACACAAAAAATCACGCCAATCCGTCACTCCGTTTCGACGTGAAAGAAGGACAAACAATCAAACAAACACACTTTCACATTTATAATATTATAAGTAGGTATAAGTATGGATGTCCTCCAGACCGATTTAGGCCATGGCAGCCAGCCTCGCTGAGAGTAGCCGTCTGTGCAGGTGGTATTGTATTGCACAAGTATTACCTCTCAAACACCGGTGGGACGACAATTCAATACGACAGGCGCAGGACCGAATTTTACATACTCTCCGAAGCACGAGAAGTATACCAAGGTCTTACCACTGCTAACTTCCCAACTATGGGCTATTACCTGTTAGAAACCCAATAACAACTCTTGCCCAACCCAGAGCTCAAACCTAAGACCTTCAGTTTTACAGTTGCATATGCATTAGACCAACTAGGCAATTTAAAATATTACTATTAACATTTATAACTATACTAGCTTAGCCCGTGGCTCTAATCGCGGAGCTTTTTTATGTATAATCGCTTCTACTATAAAATATAAAAAGAATTTTACGGATTGATTATTCAAGAGATTAACCCGTTCAAACGAACAAAACAAACTCTTTAGATTTATATGATAGTGTAGATATATAGATAACTAAATATTAATAGTGTATTTTAAATGGTACTTTTGTGATTGTGGAATATAGTCAAATACAATAAAATAAAAACAATTATATAAAGTATGTAAATACAATATATTTTTTATTTTTAAAGTGTAAAATTGGCAACATATACTATGTTGCCAGTTTTACACTTTAAAAATAAAAAAAATATTTTAAAGTGTCGTTTCAGTGTCGTTTTGGTGTAATAAAGAAAAAAAGTATTTAAAACGATTTCCCAATAATACGGTGAAATTCACAAAACGGACCCGTTAAAATAAACGACTTCATTCTTACGAACGAGCATACAAATTAGTTGCTGTTAACGAACGCGATTTACGACGAAATTAACCTGAATAATTGAATGTATAGGCTTTAGGTATGCATCTATATTTGGTTTTTAATTATAATTAAGATGTCATAAAAGATTTTCTAAAATTATTCTAATAACTTATCTTAATTTTGTTATGATATTAAGAAAACATTGTTGAGAATATTTTTAATATAAATCAGATACAGCAACAGCATTCCGGAGTAAGAAACATGTCACGGGTTTGATTTGAAATATTTATTTATATATCTAGTACACACGTAGTTTTTTACTATCTTGTTTTATTGTTTATGTTACTATTCTTGAAGGAGAAATATATTTTGTTTTAAGTATTTTTACTAAAGTTAAACTTAAATTAAAAAATATAATAATCAGAGTAAGTAATGACTGGTCAGCTCTAGTACAATTCAATTCAATTCTCTTATTAATGGCTTCGAAGCGTGCCTCAAAGTTGAGCATAGATTATTTCGCCAATGTCACGTAGAATCGAGAAGACACGAAGGAGATAGAAAGCTTTAAATACTCTTCTAATCAACATTTGCTATTAGGCGTCCTGCGTCAATGTCAACAAAAATAGTTAAAACCTTTCTAACTATATAAACAAAGGTTAACGAAACTACAATAGCTGATATTATAAATTAAACATTACAAGGCTTTTGATGAATAGGCATTTGGTAACATGTCAATTTGACGTACCGATATACGCCAGCCTTATCACATCACGTCACGATTTGTCTTGCGTAGTGTTAAACGTGGTCATAACCCGCTTTCATTTGTCTTAATAAAAAATTAGGCAGCGTGATCAAACTTGAATCACTTTGTAAATTTTAATGGTAATAATTATATAACTAGAACAGATATTAAACTCAAAAGTAAATAATACAAAACAAATAAATTTTTGCGTTTTGGCTTCCGAACCGTAAAAACATCTGTCAAGTGCGAGCTGAATTCGCACACGAAGGGTTCCGTATCATCGTACATGTACTTTTGCTCTATATATGTAGTATTAACTTCGATGATCGATTACGATATTTCCGTTTTAGCGTTTTGGCTTCCGAACTGTAAAAACATCGGTCAAGTGCGAGCCGAATTCGCACACGAAGGGTTCCGTATCATCGTACATGTACTTTTGCTCTATGTATGTAGTATTAACTTCGATGATCGATTACGAACGTTAAAAAATATTTCTTGTATTTTTATTTTATGTTTTTATTATTTGTTGCTATAGCGGCAATAGAAATATATACTCTGTAAAATTGATTCTAATTGACGGACGGACGGACGGATGGACGAACAGCGAAAACTTAGTAATAGGGATCCGTTGGCATCCTTCAGGTACGAAACCCTAAAATCATGTTGGGTGCAATTTAACCTAAAGAATAAGCCAAAACAGGGCTTGTATGCTTGTTAGTTTATCTATATATCATATATTTTATATATGTACATAAATGATATGTAGATGTTATATACATACATGACATATTTCTATCGCCTTTTCTAAGCAGATTTACAAAGCTTCTGAGCATCTAAATAATGTACTCTATAACTGTAATAAGCTATGCCATACATTCAAGCTTAAAATGAAGGAAAACTTACGTTAAGTTGCAGTGTAAATACGTAATACAGTCAGAATCGTAAGTATATAAAAATGCATTAATAATAATTATATTATTAACTAAACTTCATATACTGCTCTACTCATTACAGGTCATTACTCTATGAAAAGTTATATTGTAATTCTTATCAAACGACTACAACTAAGAATTTAGGTGATCTATAAAAGGTAATAATTGCAAAAAATGTCTTCTAATTCTCAATTTAAGTATATTTTAATTAAATAAATGTATCCGGTGAACCCAGTTTTAGACTACTTTCTAAATAAGATAACCATTACCATACCAAATAAGCATTATCGCCGTAGTGACGTTTAAAAATCACTTATTTGCATTACGCGTGGGTTCTAGAATAGTTTTGGGACAAGTTTTTTTTATATTTTTTTGTATAGTTAGGATGAATACAGGCTTATTAGTTTATAATTATATAATATTTCTATTGGCATTTTTTATTTGTAAATGTCTCTTCAGTATCATCTTCTAAGTGTCTAACCTCTATTTGTTACTGATTAGGTAATAACTTATAACAATAACTCAAAAAGTTATACATATATATATACTGTATATAACCTTTGTAATTATTATGTTTCTTTATATACATTAGCTTTCATAAAGTATAAAATTTTGTTTATTTATATATGTGATTATACGTTTGTTAAAGATAACTTAGAAATTGAACTGTTAGTTTTGTAACAGTTAATTCTGAGTTTTACTGAATATTTTTATCAAAAAACTAGCGGACCACAGCTGTTGTTTTGCCAAAGATCTCGTTTGGTTATAAAATTAAAAATTTATTAACAAAAATCTTGATCTAAGCAACACACCAGCTATCGCGTCTAAGTAACTATCCAGCTAGGAAACATCTCGGTCCACAACAAAAATCTTATCAACGTCGATCGCCCGTTGGTAGGAGAAAAATTACGAACACACTCACACTGTAATTTTATATAGAAATATTACATATTTTTACTTTACAAAGCAATCGCATATTTAAAATATGTAATTTAAAATAAACTATTAGATTCTACTTAAGGTTTCATAACGAATCGTGTCCAGATATAACTAATGATAGGAGATCCGTTACGCGATAGGGATCTGCGCAATCTGACCTCTCGCGTGTTTACAGCGAAATGCCGCGGAAGTAATAGATAAAAATGTTTCATGCTTTTGAATTCCTAATGAAAGACTTTCTTGATTATTAATTAAAATATACAAAAGTGTCAACCATTTCATATTTATTTTATTATAATATTTATTTTTCTTTATAGTTATTTAAGACATAAAATTATAAAGGGTGGAAATCATCACACAGTAAGTATTTTTTTCATATTGTCTTCGCGAAAGCTTTATTTTACATGAACTTTTTCGACTATGTTGCTGTGCTTACGGAGCTATCTTTTACATATTTATTTGTCTCATTCGGCATTGAAGGTATGAAACTCTACGTTAAAGCGAACAATACATTTTTCTTTTAAAACACAATAAACCTGTATCTATTCTTAAAAATAAACACAAGGAAAGATATTATTTAATACTTATAATTAGTTATTTATTATATATTTGCAACGAAATTCGTAGATTTTTTCAGGTTTCGGTCTTTCTTCCTTTTATGTACATATTGACAATAATACATACTCGTAGATAAGCATTTCAAGTTTGTCATCGAATCTTAATTTAAAGAACTTTCGAAATAAAATTACGACAAAATTCCGTTATTTTTGCTCAGAAAAAACAAAGATAAGAAAATGTTTTAGATAATATATACATCAGAATTCTTATAGAAAATAAGTTATTATAAAAAGCTCATGTACATACCCCCGATATCCGGGAACAAACTTAAATGGTATTTATTTTATTAAGAAATTGATAAGTATTTACCTATTGGTGTAACGGTTTCAGATAGCGTAATTATTGTCTTGAAGCGAAATATTATTGGTTTATTAAATTCAAAGTTTATAGCAGATCTGAGTGTTATACCTGATAGCAAATAATTATTTAAAACGTCAAGTTATATATAGATCAGGTATGGATGATAATTTAGTCTTCTCAAACACAAGTGTATGCCTTCTATGGAGTGACACTGAGAATAGAAGTAGAAATGTAAATTTAATATCTTAATCTCTTATATATTTTTTGCGTTTGCGAATGCGTTTTCAATGTAGGTATGTTGCGTTTTCTAAAGTTACGGCAGCTTATTTCATACTTCCTAATCTATCTTTTTTATTATAATTACGATATCTATGTTTTCGTGGAATAGATTTGTTTTTATCTAAGGACGACTTGAAGCGAAGTGATGTTCAAACGCCAGTGTTATAAAAAAATAAAGCGGAATCTGCGATTTCGGACGTCATGAGTAATGACAGGTCGAGAAAAGGTGACATTACTGAAATTATTAATAATTGAGTGAAATTCTTTGCTTTCTTTATCTTTTAATATGTAATTGCTTACCTTATTTTCCTCAGTATCATTAATATATTCGCTATCATTATGCACATTTATTTCGTCACTTGTTTTTTCTTGATTACTTCGTACATTATCCTTTAGTGTATATCCGTTTAAGTCGTCCCCTTCAAGGGTTAACACATTTCTAGTTTCCTCACTTTCGTCATTTATTTTATAATCTGTTATTATGCATTGGTTATCTGGATGCCTTAGTTCTAGTCTAATAGTTCTATTAGAATCTTTGTCTATACTAATATTAATGTTAGGTTGAACCATTTTATTTATAGCGTAATTTTCATTAGGTTCAAGATTTTTCACCTTTCTCTTCAAGTTTAAATCTATTGCTTTATTATTTACTTTAGCGTGATTGTTTAGTTTGGTCTGTTCAATCGACAACATATCTTCAACGTAATCAACCTTTTTTCTCTTTATTATTAAATTTTCATTGAAAATGTCATCGTCTGTTAAATTTTGCTCAGTCATCTCGAGCAGGTTGGTCATAATTTTGGTCATCTTGATTGGTACGACGAATTTAATTGGTCACATTGTGTTTCACTGAGGGTTATCGCGGGCCATTGTCGGTTTAACACGGCGTAAATCATCGACAGATCATTATCTGTACCGATGACCGCTATTTGCTTCAAATATAATATGACCTTCGATTTTGAACACACTGCACCTTTTTAAAGGTTTGCCTAAGCTCTCGTTTCACTGGTCAGCTTATTGTTAAGCAATCGTGAACTTTTACACGATTATTGGTACCATTACAATTCGTATGAGAATTGTATTTTCTTTAGAATGGTTTTCTTTATCCCTGTCTAATACGTGAGTTCATCTCCTTCTAAATAATGATATTATTGTTTATTACACATTCAACTTTGTTCAATTTAAAATACCATTAGACATTGATAGCATAATGATTATAATAGACAGGGCTTTATAAAAAGATACAATAGTCTTAACACTTTCGTTTATCACTATAAAAAAAATCTAAAATAGTTTACATAAATTTAACTAATATGAGGTTTACGATACAAACAATGACACTATCCACAAAAATATCACCAACTTATTAAAAAAAAGTTGTTAAAAAAAATAACGTCACACACTTCATTCACAAATCAGGTTGGAATATTTAAAAAAAATTCTAAATTCAAATTTCCCGCGCGGCGGCACGTGAGCGGCGCGTCGCTCGAGGCTATCACATGGAGTGGGCTGCGCGCGCCAGACGTGATAAAGATGGGGATTGCAGTATAAACGAAAGCTGTAGACTGAACATGTAATAATTAAGGTGTGTATTTCATTTTTTCATTATTATTTTGAATTCTGTACTCTAAACGAGTCTTTGTGTTTTTAAAAGTAGCTCTAAACACTTAGATATTGATTATATAATTAGACCTAAATATTAAAAGTTTACTACTTAAACTCTACAATTAAGAAATCAGAAATAATATTTTATTTTCATGTAATAAATATTTAACGTGACAAAAATATTTATTTATTAAATCTTCTTACATTGTTACATCAAACACATTTATAGTCAAAATTTAATTTTCCCAAATTTAATTATTTTTTTAAAGTTTTCGTTCTTAGATTATTCTTAAACTTAAGCACATACTGCCTATAAAGCTTCCTCCTCGCACCACGTCGCAAATCTATAACATTATTCCTTTCATATCCAGTTTGATTGTGATTACGTGTGAGTACGAAGTATGAAACGACGTTTGTATGTGTGTTCGTGTGAAATTATATGCATATTTTATAAGGTTTTTGACATTTTCGGATATTAGCTAATAAGTACATTATTTTGTAATTACTATTGGCTTTTAATCCTATTTTTAAACCTATTTTTTCATTTGCGTATTTTGTTTTATGTAAAATGTCCACATTTCCAATAAAATATAATAAGAAAAATAGGTACTTTAAATAAAACTATGTTTTTGGATTATTTCGCGAATTTATTTTGATTTTTGTTTCGAATGCTTTACAGCAATTATGGTTACGGGAGAGACTCTCTCGAAATGTCAAATATCCGCGTAAATCTACGGAAGTATTATTTATAAGATTTTTTTTGCTTACATTAACTTTACCTTATTATAACGTGTAATATGTATAACGTGTACTGCATTAAATATGTACATACGTCTGATATGGCAAGGTACTAGCTCCTGAAACACAGTTTTCTAGTTCAATGGTTAAGGCCATGTGCATTTGTTACCATTGTGTTATTTGAATAAAGTAAAGTTTTTTTTTAAATGAAAGAAATATAGGTGCTTATTCCATAACGAACTTTGCAATGAATCATTGTATAACATTGCAGAAAATTGAACAATGACACAATAAGCTTTTATATAAATATGTAGTTTCCCAAGGAGAGTTAATGTCAGGCAGGCGGCTGTCGAAAAACTTTTGCCAAATCCTATCAGCAATACGGAAGATGTACTGCACCGACACCAAGTCACTGGGAAATGGGCAGGGAGTTGACGATTATGAAATGTGTAGTTTCTGGTGAGATAATAATGCTAAATAGTTATAATTATATTTTATTTTGAATTAAGTATATATAACTTCTTTACCATTTACTAAGTATTTTAACATAATTTAATTTAGGTTAGGTCGAACTGTCGAAAATATGATAATATAATATTTTAAGCTTATAATCGCAAACCTTGCGTAAAATTAAGTCGAGTGAAAAGAGGCCGTACAAAGGTTAAGGGTTATTTAACATGTTTAAGTATAATGCAATGTTGCGAAAGTATCAATATTATGAATTTATAACTTTCAATATCAATAAAAGAAACTTTATTTGAATAATATTCAGATCTTTGTTATTTTTTTTGAAGTACATTTTTTTTCATTTGTCATATTATTATATTACTAGCGACTCCTCCTTGCTTCGCTCGGATTCGTCCTTAGGTGATTCTTTAAATTTTGACATATTTTTTTATTTATGAACCGATTGAAATAAAATAAAGTCTTAATGTTAAGTTAAGCTTACAATAATACGTTAGTGAAAACCGCACCCAAATCGGTTAAGCCGTTTCTGAGATTAGTGCGCACAAACACACAAACAGACTAAAATTTAAAATCGTTGTTTTGGGTTCTATCGCGTTAATAAAGACCCTCAATAATAGTTTTTCTCAAATATCTTCAATGTTACAGCGATTAGTTACAATTTCATTATATGTATAGATTATTACTATTAATATAGCATGAAAAATTTGCAGGGTTAGATTAAAACAGCTTTACGAGATACAGAACACAGTGACTTTATACTTCGTAAACGTATTACGCTTAAGTACATACATACATACACACGTAGGTACCTATTGTATATCAGGCAATCTATCTTTCAATCGTTAGACAGTCATTAATATTTGAGTGGTAGATAGCATCAGTTTATAAAGCATCGTATAGAGGTCATATTAAACAATGTTACTTTATTAAGATATTTTAAGGCATAGAAAGGCAGTGGTAGCCCAGTGGTAACCCGCTCGCTTAGGAATCCGAGTGAAGCGGGTTCAAGTCCCGGGTCTCGCATCTCTGATATTTTCATGTGCCAATCATTTCTAACACGATGACCAGCTGCCTTACAGTGAAGGAAAACATCGTGAGGAAACCTGCATGTCTGAGAGAACCTAGCAAGTCTTCGAAAGACATGTGAAGTCCGCCAACCCGCACTTGGCCAGCGTGGTGGACTATGGCCTGATTCCCCTCGTACTGAAGGGAGCCCCGTGCCCAGCTGTGGGACGTTAAAAAGGGCAGAATACAGAAAGGTGTACTTATATGTTTATACTTCTGTGATATTTATTTAGATGTATGCTTGAATTTAAAATATTTATTTATTTGCTTTTCAAGGGTAACATACAGTACAATAAATAATTACATCATAAAACATATAAAACTGTAAAAGCTTGCCACCGCAATACGTTGTACCTATAAAAATATAGAATATAATAAAATAGGTGTTTTTTTTATTTAAACGGTTTCATTGGAAAAAAGGTAATAATAATGTAGATACTGTACTTAAAGCTAAAAAATAATTAGGTATGTGATGTCCTAGATACCAGTCATCACACCACTCTCCTCATCAATCTAGGGCATTGATCAGATTTAAAAACAAATTCGTGGGGCGTATCGTAACCTGAGTAAATATGTAATGTAATTATATACAATATTTAGCTTTAAACTATTACGTTTTTTGATCAACGTCATGGACTATAACCTTTTCAATTTATGTCTTTATTAAAATTATGTATTGTTTCGGCTGATTATTGTAAGAAAATGTGGAATAAGTCTTGGCATTTCCTGTCGACGATTCGATTTACGCGAATGGTGCATATTTACCTGTTGATTTCTCTATTTATCATACAACTAGTAGTACCCGTGGCTTTGTCCGAGTTTAAATTTCCGATATAAACGTCAGTTTTACAATAATATATGAAAATCTGCCCAATTTGTTGACATTTATGTTTACTGCTCCGCTCCCTTGGATAGTGGCATGATGATATATAGCCTATAGCCTTCAATAAACGGTATTTAATCGAAAAAGATTTTTTTAAATCGGATCAGTAGTTCTTGAGATTAGCGCGTTCAAACGAAAAAACTCTGTCTCTTTATAATATTAGTATACATTTATCATACAATAAACAAAGCTATAATCTTTACTAAGTAAAACACGAAACCGGATACAAAATTGAATTGAAATTTTGAACGCACCAGACAGATATCGTTCGACCTTACAAAAGAGTTCAACGAAACCAACTGGTCAAATGTACGAATTCCCCTGACAATAGCTTCCGTAATTGGTTTATTTATATAAATAATTGCAATGTTATGTCAACACCCATTGTTGGTGCAAATATTCTATGAAATCTTAATGGATATTTTATACACCAAAATTTTCCTTTAGATTATAATAATTATTTTTGTAGGTAGGTTGGTTATAGCATATAGATAATTAGTTTTTTTAATAGAATTGCTAATGTTTTTCCTATTTTACGTAAATAATTATATATTAATCTAATGATCAACTCACGCATATTCACGAGGGTTGACGTCAGGCAGGCGGCCGGTCGTAAAACTTTTGCCAAATCCTTTCAGCAGTACAGAAGATGTAATGCGCCGACCCCAATTGATTGGGAAATGGGCAGGGAGAAGAAGTAAATAATGGTTTGTATTCAGTCCTTTTTAACATCCCACTGCTGGGCACGGGCCTCCCTTAAGTACGAGGGGAATCAGGCTATAGTCCACCACGCTGGCCAAGTGCGGGTTGACGGACTTCATATGTCTTTTGAAAACTTGCTAGGTTCTCTCAGACACGCATTGTCTCTCAACATGCTCACGATGTTTTCCTTCACCGTAAGGCAAGTGGTTATCATGCTAGAAATGATTCGCACATGAAAATATCAGAGGTGCGAGACCCGAGATTTGAACCCGCTTCACTCGGTTTCCCAAGCGAGCGCGTTACCACTAGACTACCACTGCCTTAAAATAATGGTAAAAATTCAAAA